GTCTGGACATGTTAACGAATCGAACTAGCCACTTCTATTAAGGGACGTACCTGTTGCACTGTGCTGGACGGCCATATGCCAAGCATGATGAACGAGAATGCATTCCATTCTGCTCTGGACTTTTCTCTTTTTGTAAGCGTTCTCTCGTTAAATACTCTTTTGTTCAACTAATTTGCACCTTCCGATTGATTGAGGGATCCTTCTTTTTTTCTAGCCCATGAACTGCGACTGCAAGTGTATTCTGGAACGGGCGGCCGGTATCTGCTCGATGTGAACGGCCGTTGGGTGGGTATATTGAAAAGTCAGAGACACTTGTCGGCTTGGTATTCACAAGGTCGGGATGTGCGCTTAGCTATGTTTTATATGACAGAGACCATGCCGTTTAATATATTGAAAAGTCAGAGACACTTGTCGGCTTGGTATTCACAAGGTCGGGATGTGCGCTTAGCTATGTTTTATATGACAGAGACCATGCCGTTTATCTGCAGTATGTTGACGATTATTCGGTACTTCGTATGCACCTCATGACCCTCCATCATGCTGGGCCATGAAGAGACCTTCGTTTTACACGACTGGTCATCCATATTCACCGCTGGCTCGCAGCCACCATGGTTGTAGAATTCTGCAGTCAAATAGTAAAAGAAGCGCAGTAGAACTCGCTCAGGGTAAAAAGGCAGCCGCTCAAGGACCCTTCTGCTTCTCATTGCAAGTTGTGACTTGAAAATCCCTGGCAGACAAGTCACCAAGTTCAATGTGATACAACAGAGACATGCATGAGCAATTAGAGCCGGTCGTGGTCGTGACCGTGTCGCGACGCGTCGGCGCCATGCTTGCTCTTGCTGCCGAGGAGCAGAGTTGGTAACATCGGCAGCTCAGCAACGGAGTGTACAAATGGGGAATACTCGATTCTGCGATTTTTCAGTCTCGACACCTTTTGAGGAAAACGTCTCCCATCACCAGACGCATGAAAGTTAGTGACCCCTAGCTTGGCACAGCCAGACGCTGCTGGCTGTGGTGGATTGGTCCGTGCTCGAGGGTCGCTGCTGACAGAAGCCGTGGGGTGGGCTGGTCGTCGCGACAGTTGGGCGGGCAATAATTGCAACAGGGAAGCCACACCCACGAACACCAGATACTTGTGGCTAGCGGTGCAACCACGGCAGGAAATGTGACGTCGGCTTGAGGAACATCCATGTCTAGTGTTCTCCTAAATCTAATAAATGAGGCTGCCTGTGATCGATTGGACGTGATAGCAAGCTGCGGAATCTTCATCCAGTCTTCAAGGCTCCCTTCATCAGAAGCCGCTGACATATCCCGTCATATTCCTTTTTAACTCTCATCTTTCATCCTGGCTTTCACATTGCTCAGTGGCTCCTTTCTTTTCACATGCAGGCGAGCTACATTCTTAATAAAAACAAATTCCAGGTATCCTTTTTTTCAGGTAACTGAAAAATCAAGCCCCGGTCTCCCCAGACCGGATATTATATAACCGTGACTAAATGTCGTCCATGGGTTGCCTACCAACCAACTAAGTCGGCGGGTCGGGGAGGGCTTCACAGGGACGGTGGTGTATGGGCCGGGTTCCTTGGGAGCGGTGCGGACCCAAGATCCCAGGTGTTGTGCGCAACCGCAGGTGACAGCCATTCTTTTGGTTGACACATCATGCAATCTGCTGTGACCAACGTGTCAGAGCTCGGCATGCACAGCTAGGTGAACGCAACAGCGTGCTGGT